CCCCCCCCCGCCCTAACGCTCGCTGCCCTCCGGCACCGCAGGGGTTAACGCCGATTTTCCCCCCCCCCCAACCTCGCAGCGCTGTCCCCGCAGATTGACACATCCTCCTGCCGGCCCTCCTCCTTCCGCCAATAGGAAGCCAACTCCGCGCGTCCCACGTGGGGGCGGGCCGCCGGCGCGCGTTCCTATTGGCCAACAGCCGCCGAGAGCGCCCGCACGGGCCAGGCCCCACGTGGAGCCGCGCTCCTTCATTGATCGCCCTCCGCAAAGCGGCGGCCGCGGGGGGGGCGGCGGTGCCCGGCGGGGGCTTCGGCTCCGCTCGGCTCCGCTCGGCTCCGCTCGGCTCCGCTCGGCTCCGCTCGGCTCCGCTCGGGGCTCGGCCCGCGGTTCGGGGCTCGGCACGGCTCGGCTCGGCCCGGTTCGGCTCTCTTCGGCCCAGCTCGGCTCCGCTCAGCCCCGCGCGGCTCCGCTCGGCTCAGTTCGGCTCCGCTCGGCTCAGTTCGGCTCTATTCGGCCCAGCTCGGTTCGGGACCCCCGTAAGGACCGGGTTCAGCGGCGCGGTGAGTCCATCCCGTCCCATCCCAAATCCTATTCCTCCCATTCCGCTCCGTGCCCCCCCGCCTCTCCTCTCGCTCAGGGATGGGCGGTGGCCCCGCTCCCCCCTCCCCACCCCCACAGCGGTACCTGCGGTGTCGGAGGGGCCCATTGTCTGAGAGGCGTGCGGTGGGGGGGCGGACCGGGGCGTGGGGGGCGGAGGGGGGGCTGTGTGTCTGTGTGTCTGTGTGTCTGCGCCCCTCCCGAAGCGGTCACGTCGCGTTGTTCCCCACCCCCCCTTCTCCCCCCCACCACCCCCTCCAACCCCCTGCAGGGGCTGAGCCGGAGCTGGAGCGCATCCCCGTGTGAGGAGAGGAGCTGGGGGGGGGGCCCGGGTCCGCCCGGTGCCGGCGATGTTCCCCCAAAATCGGCCGCCGGTGAGCAACGTCCTTTTGCTGCGCACGTGGCCGTGGGATGGCCGCGATGGTCCCCATAAGGGAGCGCTGTGTGGGGCCGGGGGGGGTGAGGGGGATTTGGGGGGGATGGGGGGCACGACGGTAATGTGGGGCTGGGATCCCCCAACGCTACGGGGGGGATGGGGTCAGTGCGTATGGAGTGGGGGCATGGGGTGGGTGATGATGGCACAGGGACAGCGATGGTACAGGGGCCACAGTGGCACGAGGACAGGGGTGGCACAGGGACAGCAAAGGTACAGGGATGGTGATGGCATGGGGACAGCAGTGGTGTGGGAATGGGGATGGCAAAGAGATGGGGGTGGCACAGGGACCACAGTGGCACGGGGATGGGGATGGCATGGGGACCAAGGTGGCATGGGGATGGCAGCAGCACGGGGACAACGATGGCACAGGGACAGCAATGGTACAAGGGGCCACAGTGGCATAGGGATGGCAGTGGCGTGAGGACAGGGGTGGCACAGGGACAGCAATGGTACAGGGATGGTGATGGCACAGGGACCTCAGTGGCACGGAGATGGCAGCGGCATGGGGACAGCGATGGCACAGGGACAGCAGTGGCACAAGGACCACAGTGGCATAAGGCTGGCAGTGACACGAGGACAGGGGTGACACAGGGATCACAGTGGCATGGGGATGGGGGTGGCACAGGGACAGCAATGGTACAGGGGTGGTGATGGCAGGGGGACAGCAGCGGTGTGGGAATGGGGGTGGCAAAGGGACAGTGATGGCACGGGAACCACAGTGGCATAGGGATAGCAGTGGCATGGGGATGGGGGTGGCACAGGGTCAGCAATGGGACCACAGCAGCACAGGGATGGTGTTGGCACGGGGACAGCAGTGGCATGGGGACAGTGATGACACAGGGACCACGGTGACACGGGTGACAGCAGTGCTACAGGGCCAGTGGTGGCACGGGGACCACAGTGCCCACCTCCTCCTGCACGTGCCACCATCCCTAATGTCCCCACAGCCTCATCCCTGGGCTCTGGGGACTGGCGGTGGTGGCGGTGCCCCCCCAACCGTCCCCTCCCATCCCCAGGGCCACCTCCCAGCCCCCTCAGCCCCCTCAGGCCCCACCACCCCACAGTCCCTCAAGCTGACTTACCCCGAGACCTTGGATCGCATCAAGGAGGAGTTCCAGTTCCTGCAGAACCAATACCACAGGTGAGGGTGGGGGACGTGGGGGGGGGTGGATGGACACCATCCCATGCGTTGGTGGCATCTATGGGGCGGTGGTGCCAGGAGGTGACACTGTGTCATACGGCCCCATTTGGGATGCAGATGCTGCACATCCCCGGTTTGCTCAGCCCTGGGATGTGGGAGCAGATTTGGGGGATGGGAGGAAGGGTCTGTGGGGGGGGGGGAAGGGGGTCTTTCTGATCTTTTATCTGTTATTATGTTTTATTTTTACAGCCTGAAGTTGGAATGTGAAAAGCTGGCGACGGAGAAAACTGAAATCCAGCGACACTACGTGATGGTCAGTGAGAATTTCCTCTGAACTGCCAGAGTGTGACCCCCCCAACCCCCCCACTCCCCATAGCCGGGTTATGGGGCTGCCCCCTGTGACCACCCCCACCCCCACAACGGATATTTTGACCCAAAATGAGCCACATCTGAGTGCTGCAGCTCGTGGGCAGGGTGGCAGAATTGGGGTCCCCCCACCCCATCCCAGCTGTAGGACCCCCCCTTGCTGCCCCACTGATGCTCTGCTCTCTCCCGCAGTACTATGAGATGTCCTACGGGCTGAACATCGAGATGCACAAACAGGTGAGCCCACACGGGGGGGTCACCCAACCCACCTCCCCCGCCCCCCAATCCACCAAAAGCCCACTTGGAGGTCTGCACCCCATGGCCGAGGTGGGGGGGGCTCTGCCTTTTCCACATGGGCATTCCATTCCCAGCTTTGTGCTGGTGCTGGGAGGAGAACCATGCGGCCAGGTGGAAGATATTCCCTTTTTTTGGGGGGGGGGGCATGGAAGCAGCCCTAAACCCACCTCCCTGCATGGAGCAGCCCGAGGGGCGGTGGCAGTGCTGGTGGCCATGGAGGGGGGGTGGGCTGGTGGGGGGGAGGGAAGAGAAGGGGGGGGGGCTGCGAGCAGCGCGATCATTTTTCATGCTGAGAGCGTTAAAGTGCCACTAAATTGCACATTAACGAGCGCGAGTGAATTGGAGGCAGCTCTCCCCGAGGAGCTGCTGCCCATCAGTGCATTAGGGGAGAGAATCCATCACTGGCGGCCCCGGGAGACAGCTAAATCCTTCCCAGAACCGCCGCCTGCCACTGCACTGCTCGCACTGCGCTGCTTTGCCTCCTCTTCTTCTTGCCTTTTCTCTCCTTTTTTTCCCCTCCCTCAGAAGTGAGGGTGGTGCTGAGGGTGGTGGGGGTGGCAGAAAGGTGTTCCTGTCATCTTTTCTGTCATCCCAGTGCATCCCCATCTTGGTGTCCCCATTATTCCAGTGTCCCCACCATCCTTGTGTCCCCCATGATGTCCTCCATCCCAGTGTCCCCATTGTTCCCGTGTCCCCATCATCCCGGTGTCCCCCCCCATCTCAACATTCCCTGTTCCACTGTCCCCGTCATCTCAGTGTCCCCATCATCCTGGTGTCCCCCGTCTTGGTGTCCCTACCCTGGTGTCACCCCTCATCTCAGGGTCCCCCGTTATCCCCATGTTCCTCCCCATCTCAGTCTTCCTGGTCTCAGTTTCCCCATCATCCCAGTGCCCCCCATCTCAGTACCCCTACCCTGGTATCCCCATCCCAGTGTCCCCATCATCCCATTGTCTCCCATCCCAGTGTCTCCCTCATATCGATGTCCCCATCATCCCAGTGTCCCCATCATCCCGGTGTCCCCATCCCAGTGTCCCCATCATTCTGATGTCCCCATTATCCCAGTTGCCCCCCCATCTTGAAATTCTCCATCCCAGTGTCTCCCATCCCAGTGTCCCCCTCATATCGATGTCCCCATCATCTCAGTATCCCTACCCTGATATCCCCCACCCCAGTGTCCCCCCTCTCTGAGGGTGACCCCATCCCAGTGTCCCCATCATCCTGCTATCCCCATTATCTCACCGTCCCCCATCTCAGTGTCCCCATCCTGGTATCCCCCCATGGCCTGGGCCACGCTGCCACTGCAGTGTCAGTGCTGTCTTGGGGGTGAGGGGGGGGAACTTGGGCTCCCTGTTGGGGTGATATGGGGTTTGATGGGTGGTGATGGAGCTCCCTGCTCCTCCCTGGGCTGTATCAGCTTCGGGGGGCTGAGCGTCCAGGCTGGACACTGGGGAAGGGTCTCAGCGCCCCTCAGTGGGAGGGGTTCAGCCATAGGGACGATGGAGAGGGGGGTGGGGAATGGGGGGAGGTCTCACCCTGCCAGGTCCCTCTCCTCCTCTCCTTGCAGACAGAGATCGCCAAGCGGCTGAACGTCATCTGCGCGCAGCTCATCCCGTTCCTATCGCAGGAGGTGGGTGTCCCCACACCGGGGGGGGCTGAACTCCCATCAGAGACCCCAAACCCCGCATACTGGGCTGGGGGGAGCCCCCTCCATCCCTCCCCCCCCCGCCCACGTGCCCCTCTCTCCCCCCCCAGCACCAGCAGCAGGTGGTCCAGGCGGTGGAGCGTGCCAAGCAGGTGACTATGAGTGACCTGAACGCGGCCATCGGGGTACGTTGACCCTCTGCCCCCCCCCCAACCTCCCTGCTGGGCACCTGCAGGTGATGGTGGCACCGTCCCAGGGCTGCAGACCCCCGCTTTGGGGGCACCCACAGCCCCCCCCCCAGAGCCGTGGGGGAGCACAGCCAGGCTTCAGTGGGGACCAGAGAGCAGTAATGGGGTTGGGAGCATAGTGGCATTGAGGTGTGGGGGTGCTGTGCCCTGAGGGCCGTAGGGGGGGGGTCACCACCATCCTTGTGTCCCCATCATTCCCTTGAGACCACAGCGCTGTGGATGTGGGAGGGATCCGAGGGCAGCGCCTCATCAGTACCAGGAGGTGGCAGTGGGTGGGATGTGGTGCCCCCTCCACTGGCCTGGGGATACCCTGGAAGCCTGACCCCCCTTCCAGCCCCTCCCATCATCCCCTCCCCTGACCCTGCATCCTTCTGCTCTGCTCTCTCCCCCCACCTCCCCTTTCCAGCACCAGCTCCAAACGCAGCACCTCTCGCACCATGCCCCCCCCATCCCGCTGACCCCCCACCCCTCTGGGATGCAGCCCCCCACCCTGGCCGGGCTGGGCAGTGCTTCGGGGCTGCTGGCGCTCTCGGGGGTGCTGGGGGGGGCCCAGCTCCTCACCAAGGATGACCGTGGGGTCCACGACGCCGAGCACAGGGGTGAGCTTGGGGGATCCAAGGGGGGACCCAGAGGGGGGCACGTAGGGAGGATGCTCCCCTTCAGGCTGGGAGTGGGGGAGTGGGAGGTGTCCCCCCCTCCACGTGGCACCCCTTGGAGGTGGTGGGGAGGACTCAGCCCGGGGGGGTCGGGGACGTCCCCAAGGCTGAGCTGGGGGTCCTGGTACCCGCGGGAGGAGCACAGCCGTGTCCCTGCTTCATCCCGGTCCTGCTGCGTATCCACATCACCATGGAGACAGAGCGAGACCCGGGTCCCGTAAGTCCCTTTCCATCCGTTTCCCATCCCCTTTCCCAGTGTTGTGTTGGTAGACCCCTCAGCAGCATCCCCACCCCCACTCCTTCACCAGCCTGCGATGGGGTGGGGGCTGCCATAGGGCCCCCTGCCCCTAACATTGCCCCTAATGCTGCCCCAGAGCTCTCTGGTGCTGCCCAACGGGGACCGGGCACGAGCCATCTCTGAGTACCTGAGCAGCAACAAAAAGAGGAAGGTGGAGGAGAAGGACTTTGTGACAGACTATGTGAGTGCAGGGAAGGGGCTGGGGGGGCTGGCACGTCCTCACCCCCCCCGGCCGGGCACCCATAAGCACCCATTGCCGTCTTGTAGGGCAGTGATGCGGACAAAAGCGAAGACAACCTGGTGGTGGATGAGGTCAGTGCAGGAGCTGCAGGGATGGGATCGGGGTGATGCCCCCCATCCCTGCTCTGCTGATGTCCATCCCCCGCAGGACCCCTCATCCCCACACAGTGTCCATTCCTACTCCTCCCGTGAGAACGGGTTGGAGAAGCTGCCGCTGGGACGGAAGGAGCCCGCGCCACTCAGCCCCACCTCCATGGCCTCCTCCAGCAGCACATCCCCATCGCGCAGCAAGGATGCACCCACGGTACGAGCACTGCTCTGGTCCCACCACTGGGTCTCCCATTGGGTTTCCCATTGGGTGTCCCATTGGGCATTGGTCCCGTTGGGCATTGGTCCCACTGGGTGTCCCGTTGGGTTTTGGTCCAGCTGGGCACCCCACGGAGCATTGATCCCATTGGGTGTCCCAGTGGGCATCAGTCCTGCTGCTCCACACCGACAGAGTAAAGGGTGATGGTTGGAGGTTGAGAGGGCTCCCCTTGTAGCGTGCTGGGTTTAGGGATGGGGGAATCACTGAGGGCATTGGGGTGGGTGGAGGATGGGTACGTGACGTTGTTCTGCCCCAATAGGTGGAGAAGGCGGGGACACCCAGCCTCAAGTCCAGCACCCCCACATCTCAGGGCGATGCCGCAGCGCCGGGATCCAGCGGTGCCCCACAGTTCCGCCCCACTGCAGCCAAAGCCCCCGTGGATTCCCTGGGTGAGCATCGCTGAGCACCGAGCACAGCCCCAAACCCACGACTCCATCCTTTGACACCACCTCTCCCTCCAGCCCTGGGCCTGAGGACCCCGCTGGGCGTGCAGAGCCCCTACTCCTTCAGCATGGCTCACCCCGCTGTCAATGGGGACATGGCTGGGGCGGGTGCCTACGCCAGCCTGCACCTCGTGTCCCCGCAGCTCAATGGCACCGCAGCCGCCAGCAGCTACGGACGTTCCCCACTGGTGCGTTTCCCCCCCCCCCAGTGGGGTTGTGTGGGTTTGGGGAGCTGTGCTCACCCCCTGTGCCCTGCAGGTTGGCTACGACCCTCACCCTCACATGCGCGTGGCAGGGCTGGCGGCCGGCATGCAAGTGGGGACATCGGGGAAACCGTAAGTGGAGATGGAGGGACGGAGGGGACGAGATGTGGGGGGGGACAACGCCATGGGAGCGCAGCAGTGGGGACAGCCCTCTGTGGGGCGACGCTGGCCGTCCCCCCCTGCTCTGCCGTCCCCATCGCCGCTCCTCTCCTCTCCGCACGGCGCCGGGTGGCCCCGCCGTGGCACCGCGCGGCTCCGTCACCGCTCCGTCCCCTTTCCCAGCGCCTACTCCTTCCACGTCAGCGCCGACGGGCAGATGCAGCCGGTGCCGTTCCCCCCCGACGCCCTCCTGGGCTCCGGCATCCCCCGGCACGCGCGGCAGCTGCACAGCCTGGCCCACGGCGAGGTGGTCTGCGCCGTCACCATCAGCAACTCCACGCGCCACGTCTACACCGGGGGCAAAGGCTGCGTCAAGGTGTGGGACGTGGGGCAGCCGGGCACCAAGACGGCCGTGGCCCAGCTGGACTGCTTGGTACGTGGGGCGCGGAGGGGCTGCGTGCCGGGGGGTCCCGGGGTGCTGGCGGTGCCGGGAACGAACGGGCGGAGGAGAGCGCGGGGGGTCCCGGAAGGGATGGCGCAGGGATGGGGTCGGAGACGTCCCCCTGCCCAAACGTGGGGCTCCCTGCTCGAGGGCCGGGGGCCGTGCGGCCCCCCGTCGCGCCCTGCCGTCCTGGAGGGGCTGAGGGCCAAGGGAAGGGGCTGACGGGGTCCTCCCTGCGCCCCAGAACCGCGACAACTACATCCGCTCCTGCAAGCTGCTCCCCGACGGCCGCAGCCTGATCGTGGGGGGGGAGGCCAGCACCCTGTCCATCTGGGACCTGGCGGCCCCCACGCCCCGCATCAAGGCCGAGCTCACCTCCTCCGCCCCCGCCTGCTACGCCCTGGCCATCAGCCCCGACGCCAAAGTCTGCTTCTCCTGCTGCAGCGACGGCAACATCGTGGTGTGGGACCTGCAGAACCAGAGCCTGGTCCGGTGGGTGCTGCGTGGCGCAGCTCCAGATGGGGAACCCCATGTCCTGCTCACTGTGCAGCGCTGACAGCCCTGCGCTTCCCATCTCTGTCCCTCTCCTCTCCCCCAGGCAGTTCCAAGGCCACACGGATGGAGCCAGCTGCATCGACATCTCCAACGATGGCACCAAGCTGTGGACGGGGGGGCTGGACAACACGGTGCGCTGCTGGGACCTGCGGGAGGGGCGGCAGCTGCAGCAGCACGACTTCAGCTCCCAGGTAGGCGCCAGGTCCCCCCGATGTGTCCGAGCCCCCCTCCGTATCCAAGCCCTGCCCTGCCCCTGCCTGCCCCCTCCGCCCCCAGATCTTCTCCCTGGGGCACTGCCCGACGGGCGAGTGGCTGGCGGTGGGCATGGAGAGCAGCAACGTGGAGATCCTGCACGTCACCAAGCCCGACAAATACCAGCTGCACCTCCACGAGAGCTGCGTCCTCTCTCTCAAGTTCGCCGCCTGCGGTACGGGCACCGCCTGCTTCCTTGGGGCTGTAGCCTTTTGGGGGGGTCCCTGCAGCCCCCGACCCTGCGTGCCCACGGGGTCCCACACTGCTGCTTTGTCTCCTGCCCAGGGAAGTGGTTTGTGAGCACGGGGAAGGACAACCTGCTCAACGCCTGGCGCACGCCCTACGGAGCCAGCATCTTCCAGGTGAGCCAAGCTGCCCCCAGCGCTGCTCAGCGCCGTCCACGTTCCTCCAGCACCCAGTCCTGCACGTTGGGTGCCAGCACCCAGCCCTGCCCTCCCCTCTCTGCAGTCCAAGGAAACTTCCTCCGTCCTCAGCTGCGACGTCTCCACCGACGATCAGTTCATCGTCACCGGCTCCGGAGACAAGAAAGCGACGGTGTACGAAGTCATTTACTGAGAGTCACGGAGGTGACGGCCACGGCCTGGGTCTGTTCCCTGAGAACAGACGGACTCACAGCCATGGGGACGGACAGACGGACTCCGGCGCAGAGGGGTGGCAGCCCAGGCCTGGAGCAATTGGCGATGGGGACCCTGCAGTGCTGGGAGGCAGCTGCTGCTGGCAGGGCCCTTCCCGGGGGTTTCCTCCTCCTTTGGTTTGTTATTGGTTGGTTTGTTTCTAAACTGGGACAGGGGGTTGGGGGAGTAAAGGGGGCTTTCTTTTGTAATGTCATTTTCTTTGTGGGTTTTTTTGGTTTTTTTTGTTAAAGTGCTGGGCTGGGCAGGGTGAGAGCTCTCCTCATCTCCTCCTGCACCTCCCAGGGCATATTTAATAATAAAAAGAAAACAGCAGCACGGTGCATCGCAGGGCAGGGGTGGATGGGGCTGGGGGCTGCCCTGCATGGAGTCAGGGGGGGAAGAGGGTATTTCCAGCCCCTCATTGCATTTCAGCACCCCCAGGGGCAGAGTCCCTGTGTACTTCAAGTCCTCCCCCTCACCCCATGGTGCCCTAGAGGAGCTCAGCCCCCCCCCCCCCCACATCACACCAACCACTCTTTTTCCTTTTTTTTTTTTTTTATTAGTAAGGATTTGAAAACGCCATTAAATACATCTCTTTACTGATAATTCACAGCTGGGGCTGCAGCAGAAAATTGGTGCCATTGAATCAGTAGCAGTAAATGGGGGGGGGGGAGGGAGGGGCCAACACCAGGCTCTGAGCTTCCTGCCTCTCATGGCTGTGTCCCCTTTCCCTACCACAGACAGACAGACAGACTGACCACCCCCTGCCCTGCATCCCCCTGCACGGAGGGGATCCTGCATCCCTCACCCCAACCAGCCCCCCCTCCGTCAAGCAGCAGGAAAGGAAGGGGGGGCACAAAGTGTCACCTGCTCCCCAGCTTGCAGGAAGAGAACCAGGAGGAAGCAGCTCAAAGAGCAGGAGGGCTGGGCTGGCTGCAGCAGTGCTGGGGGTTTGGGGGGCTCAGCCTCCAATATCTGAGCAACAGAGACAGGGGGGAGCTCAGTACACCACCTCATACACCGTGGCCTTCTTGTCACCAGAGCCAGTCACAATGAATTTGTCATTGATGGAGATGTCACAGCTCAGCACCGAAGATGATTCTTTGGACTGGAAGGAGAAGGGATGGGGGTGAGGGTGGTGGGGGTGAAGCAGCCCCCACTCTGAGCTGCCCCAGCCCCTCACCTGGAAGATGCTGGCTCCGTAGGGCGTGCGCCAGGCGTTGAGCAGGTTGTCCTTCCCCGTGCTCACAAACCACTTCCCTGGGCAGGAGACAAAGCAGCGGTGTGGGACCCCGTGGGCACGCAGGGTCGGGGGCTGCAGGGACCCCCCCAAAAGGCTACAGCCCCAAGGAAGCAGGCGGTGCCCGTACCGCAGGCGGCGAACTTGAGGGAGAGGACGCAGCTCTCGTGGAGGTGCAGCTGGTATTTGTCGGGCTTGGTGACGTGCAGGATCTCCACGTTGCTGCTCTCCATGCCCACCGCCAGCCACTCGCCCGTCGGGCAGTGCCCCAGGGAGAAGATCTGGGGGCGGAGGGGGCAGGCAGGGGCAGGGCAGGGCTTGGATACGGAGGGGGGGGGCTTGGACACATGGGGGGGACCTGGCGCCTACCTGGGAGCTGAAGTCGTGCTGCTGCAGCTGCCGCCCCTCCCGCAGGTCCCAGCAGCGCACCGTGTTGTCCAGCCCCCCCGTCCACAGCTTGGTGCCGTAGTTGGAGATGTCGATGCAGCTGGCTCCATCCGTGTGGCCTTGGAACTGCCTGGGGGAGAGGAGAGTGGGGGAGGACGCAGAGAGAGCGCGCGGCCATCAGGGCTGCCTGTTCCCAAGGAGCACCTCCAGCATCTCCTCCTCCCAAAGCTGCCGTTCCCCCCTCTGCTCACCTCACCATGGTCTGGTTCTGCAGGTCCCACACCACGATGTTGCCGTCGCTGCAGCAGGAGAAGCAGACTTTGGCGTCGGGGCTGATGGCCAGGGCGTAGCAGGCGGGGGCGGAGGAGGTGAGCTCGGCCTTGATGCGGGGCGTGGGGGCCGCCAGGTCCCAGATGGACAGGGTGCTGGCCTCCCCCCCCACGATCAGGCTGCGGCCGTCGGGGAGCAGCTTGCAGGAGCGGATGTAGTTGTCGCGGTTCTGGGGCGCAGGGAGGACCCCGTCAGCCCCTTCCCTTGGCCCTCAGCCCCTCCAGGACGGCAGGGCGCGACGGGGGGCCGCACGGCCCCCGGCCCTCGAGCAGGGAGCCCCACGTTTGGGCAGGGGGACGTCTCCGACCCCATCCCTGCGCCATCCCTTCCGGGACCCCCCGCGCTCTCCTCCGCCCGTTCGTTCCCGGCACCGCCAGCACCCCGGGACCCCCCGGCACGCAGCCCCTCCGCGCCCCACGTACCAAGCAGTCCAGCTGGGCCACGGCCGTCTTGGTGCCCGGCTGCCCCACGTCCCACACCTTGACGCAGCCTTTGCCCCCGGTGTAGACGTGGCGCGTGGAGTTGCTGATGGTGACGGCGCAGACCACCTCGCCGTGGGCCAGGCTGTGCAGCTGCCGCGCGTGCCGGGGGATGCCGGAGCCCAGGAGGGCGTCGGGGGGGAACGGCACCGGCTGCATCTGCCCGTCGGCGCTGACGTGGAAGGAGTAGGCGCTGGGAAAGGGGACGGAGCGGTGACGGAGCCGCGCGGTGCCACGGTGGGGCCACCCGGCGCCGTGCGGAGAGGAGAGGAGCGGCGATGGGGACGGCAGAGCAGGGGGGGACGGCCAGCGTCGCCCCACAGAGGGCTGTCCCCACTGCTGCGCTCCCATGGCGTTGTCCCCCCCCACATCTCGTCCCCTCCATCCCTCCATCTCCACTTACGGTTTCCCCACGGGGGTGCTGGGGAGGGATGATGGCAGTGTGGAGGCTCTCAGGTGAGGGTGCGACTCGAAAGCCACCTGAACGACGCAGTGGGGGCACAGTGAGCTCCAAAAGCAGCAGCACCAACGGAGAGCATCCCGCCCAGCCCCACGGGTGACTTACCATGGCTGAGCGCCCATACACGGCGCTGCTGAGCTGGGCTGGGAGCTGCAGGCCCACGTACACAGCGGAGGATGGCAGCTCTCCGTTGAGGGAGGTGTGGGGCAGCAGGCCCAGGGAGGTGAAGGGGCTGGAGATGCTGACAGAGGGGCTGCGGAGAGCTGTAAGGAGAGGGGAGAGAAATGCTGGAGGAGCGGGGCAGCCCCCAGACCCCAAATGTTGGCCCCATACCACCTGGTCCCTCAGCCCACAGTGCCCTGTGGCAGGCAGGGCCCAGCTCTGCGCCAGGGCTGCGGGATGTTACTGACATCCATCTTTGCTATACCTCTGTTAGTTTCCAGCCCAGACCAAGGTTTCGTATCTCTCTTTGGGCTCTGTTTCTCCCCAGTGTTCCCTCTTCTCCTCCCACCACTTCTGGTTCCTTCCACTGAGCCACAGCCAAGCTCTTCCCAAGCCCTCAGCCCACATCTTCCCTTAATTACACCCTCAGCCCTTCCAGAGGACCAGCACCCACACCACAGCCCCAGCTTGCCCTCCTGGCCATACCCACATTGGCACAAACCCTTCCATGGCTCCGAGCCCCACCTGAGCACTCCAACATTCACCACGCAGTGATTCTGGAGGTGCCCACATTGGATCACACCATCCCTGGGCACTCACCGGGGGGGTCCTTGGCTGCAGGCTGCCGGGGAAGGGTGGCTGAGCTGGGCCCCACACCGGGTGTGAGGGCATCACGGGGTGGGGGGGATGAGGAGGACACGGCCATGGGGGGGGGCGGCTGCAAGAAAGAGGAGGAGCAGAATTAAAAACAGACCTAAGGAAGCCACGAGGTGGAGGGGGTCCAGTGGAGTTGGCTCTACTGCTCCCCATTTGCTCCCCATTGCAGGGGGGGGCCCAGCCCAGCGCTCCCCCCCCCTCCTTGTTCAGCCCTCTTTTTATTTTCCTCCCGGCCTCTCCTCTTTCTTCCTCTTTTTCTGCCCCGGGGATTTTGTCTACACCAGCAAAAAAAAAAAAAAAAAGGGGGGGGGGGGGGGGGGGAAAGAGGGAAAAAAAAAAAATTAATAACAGAGCAAAGCTGCGTGCTGTGCTGGCAGATTGCTCAGGGCGCTTTGTCTGCTCTAATCCGATTGTCCCAGGGAGCAGCAGCTCACTGCTCCCTGCACCCACAGTCGGCTCCTGACCCCAGGGCCAGCCAGGACGAATGGCTGCGGGTCCCCACGGCGGCTGGGAGGGGACTGGGGGGCTGAGGAGGGGGTGATGGAGGCAGCCCTCCCCCCCCCAACGCTGATGTTTCAATCTGAGCAGGGGGCTGGTGCTTGGCGAGGAGGATGGGAGGGAAAAGAAAAAAGGAAGAAAGGAGGAAAAAAAAAAAAAAAGAAAATCGATGGCTCAGAGCAGCTCTGGGGAATCCTTCAGGCAGCCAGATGGAACGTACCTGCAGAGCCACGGCCCTGCCTGGCACAGCATCCAATTCCTCACCAGCACACACCTCTGACCACAGCTCTGGGGAACCCTCCAGGTGGAACAGCACAGTGCAGCCCCATCTCCTGCCCCACAGCCCTTACCAGCCCCGGCTCCTTCCGTCGGCACGGCGTGGTGCTCCGGCTGGAGGCTGGGCTCTCAGGGACATCCTGGGCTGGGGGGGGGTGGCTGCCAGGGCTGCCGGGCTCCGAGGGGGGGTCCTAAGGAGAAAAGAGGTCTTTGTGGGGCAGGAACTGCAGCCCCTCCGTGCTGGAGGGGGAGGATTCAGAGGCAAGGCCACCCGTCAGCTCTCGCTCCCCTATAAGCATTCAATTAGGGCTGTGATTTTTATCACCACAATTACACCACTGAGCAGTTTTTAATGTGCCGCTCTCCGCAGAACTCCCAGCTGAGGTTCCTTCCTGTGTTTTCTTGGGAAGTGACAGGAGGGGGGTAAAAAGAAAAAAAAAAACAAAACGTGTGTGCTGTCCATCCCCTGAGTCCCCCATGGGGAAAAAAAGGGGCGTCCCCAAAAAAATACTCTCTGGGCTGTGCCAAGAGAGTAGTGTGAGTGTGAGGCATCTGCTTGAGTGCTGGGGAAGGAGAGCAGGGCGGCTGTGCCCTCCTCCCCATATGGGATGCTGTGGGAGAGGTGCTGATGTGGGGCTGGAGGGCAGAGCCATGAGCTGGCACAGCCTTCAGCCCCCATTGCCACACTCAGAACCAACCCCAGCTGCGCCAACATCCCACTGCATGTCCTGGCCGGCTGCCCCAGCACAGCAGCCCAATGAACTCCAAACTCTGCAGCCGGAGCCCTACACCAGCTGAGCACAGAGCACAGCACCCTGCGAGCAGCCAGAGCTTACCTCATCCACCACCAGGTTGTAGTCACTCTTGTCCCCATCGCTGTCCTGCACAATGGGAGAAATGCAGAGGGATGTGGTCAGGTCCAAAGGAAGAGGCTGCACCAGGCTCTGCTCTCTCCCCTGCACGTCCCTCCTGGCAGACCCCATGGGCAGCTCTGCCCTCCCATCTCCATGGGACTTTTCAGCACGTCTCCTTGCAGGATTCCTGCCCCCTACCCAGCAGCCCCACACTCACATAGCGGCCAGGCAGCTCCTTTTCCTCCTGGCTCCGCTTCAGCCCCATCTCCTCCCCAGGAGGGCTCTCTGGAGATGCTGACACGCTCTGAGCAGATGACAGGAGGTGTGAGGGGAGGCAGCCAGCCCTGCGCCCCCCCTCTCCCATCCCCTCCCAGCAATGCTTCCACATTCCCACCTTTCCACCCGCTCTGTTCCAACAGGGCCACCCCTGGGGGCAGCTGCCCCACTGCAAAGCAGACGATCCATCCCACAGCACCCCCCCACAGCCCCCCCATGCCCTCACACCCCCAAGGCACCACTCACCCGGCTGGGGCTGCGCTCTGGAGCACAGGCAGGACAGGCAGGTCAGCAGGGCAGGACAGGGGAGAGAGAAAGGGGGCTGTCAGTGCAACGCCCACGGTGGGGAGAGGAGGCACAGAAGGGAGGCTGTGCCAGTTTCCCACTTTGCCCACCTCACTTTGCCCCAAATTTCCTCCTGTACACCTACAGGAGGGTGTAGGTGTACACCCACCACAGCCTCGTGGCCATCAAGATTTTCCCTTCAAGTCTCAGCTTTAGGCAACGGATCCTCATCAGGGGTGAACCCTTGCAGTAAGCAGGGTGGGGGGGGTCTCAGGTCCACCCTCAGTGGGGGGCACAGGGGTGCAGAGGACCCAGGTGTGCACACAGCCACGCACACAGCCTGTGCTCTGGGGAGCTGTCGCTGCAAGGCAGCCACTCCATCAGCCAAAAACTGAGCCAGCCTCGCAGGGCTGCAGATGTTTAACGAGCTGGCAGCGTGCAGAGCAGGCAGCAGGGCTGCCCCCAGCGTGCCTGGGACACGGGTCAGCATCAGAAGGGTTAAAGCAGCTGTTCTCCATCCCTCACCTCTGCTCTCCTGCGCTGCTTTCTCCTCCTTGGCTGCCAGCTGTGACTGTGCCATCAGTGCCCCCGACAGGGCCAGCAGCCCCGCGGCCCCCCCGGGCAGGCTGTGCACACCAGAGGGGTGGGGGGTCAGTGGCAGCTGGGGGGGCTGATGGGAGAGGTGCTGCAGCTGCTGCTGCTGGAGGAGAGAAAGCAAATGGTCCTCAACACGGGGAGGAGGCAGCAGTGCAAGGTGCAGTGGGATGAGATGCGAGGTGGAAGGAGCAGTCGGACGGGGGGGGGCTCTGTGAACAGCACCCAGCAGCAAACCCCCCTGCTGGAGCTCAGGGCTGGGCTCACCGAGCAATGAAGACCCCTCCCTCTGCCCTCCCCACTGCCACACAGTGAGACTCACCCCAACGATGCTGTTGAGCTCTCCCATGGTGACCTGCTTGGCCCGCTCCACCGCCTGCAGGACCTGCTGCTGGTGCTGAGAGCAGGGCAATCAGCACTGCTGCAAACCTCTCCCACCCCTCCAGCCTTGTTCTCCCCCCCCCAACTCCCCCCTCTGCTCAGCATGGCCCCACTTTGCCCTTTCCCTGCACATCCCCAGCTCACCTCCTGCGTCAGGAAAGGCACAATCTGGGCACAGATGGCACTCAGCCTCTTGACAATCTCTGCCTGGAAGAGGAGGTGGGAATCAGCCCCGTGGTTCTGCACCCCATCCCAGCAGTGCTGCACAGCACCCAGTGTTTCCTCCCCACGGAAAGGCAGAAACCCACACACCTCCCACCTCCACCCCAACCCCCCCATCAGCTCCAGGTACCCCACGATCACACACAGAGCCAGGGGCTGACCCACAGCACCCATCCCTCATCACCCCATGGGGACAATCCTCAGCCCCACTGGGGTTAGGGGAGCACGTGGGGCCGTGTTGGAGGGCTCTGCCAGGTTCCCCTGCTAACAAAAGGAGCAAAGGCAGAGGGGCTGAGCCAGCTGGAGGAGGATGGCAGTTGACTTGCCACTTTGTCAGGCATAGGTCCAAACTAATTTCCCTGGCAGAAAGCCCGCGATGACTGGATTGATAAATCTGAAGAGGGAAAGCAAATTAACGCTGGAACAAAAGGGGAAGTGGGGAAGGGTGAAAACACTCCTCTGTGTTCGGGAAAAGGGAAGAAAGAGGAGAGGAAAAAAAATTAAAAAGAAAACAGATATAAAAGGAAGACAATCTGTTTGCCTGCGGGCTCCAGCTCCCACTGTTTCCTGGGGCCACAGGGAGGACTTTGGGGTGTGTGCTCAGCCCCACAGCTGCCAGACCCCAGTGCAGGAGCCCTGAGGGATGCAGGGAGGAGGGAGGTGATGTCCCACCCCGCTCACCTGTTTGTGCATCTCGATGTTCAGCCCGTAGGACATCTCATAGTACTGCAAAGAAATCACAGCACGGCCACGTCGGGAGCTGCTGCCCCATTCCCTGCCCAGTGCTGTGGGTCCTGGAGCAGCGTGGGTTCCAACTCAGTGGGTCACTCTGTGGGGCAGCTCCCACCCAGAGGGGCTGTGTCACCCAGGGGAGGGGGCTGCAAGCTTTTTGGATGGGGCACAGCAGGTCTCATAGAGGTACAGAATGAGAAGGAATGATGTTCCCATCCCATCCCCATCCCCATCGCCCCCCTTGGCACAGTGTCAGCCCCACAGCTCCTGGGGGCTCCCAGGGTGCAGGAGGGGGGGCTCCCAAGAGACCAAAGAAACGGGAATAAATAAAATTGAGAGACAAACTCACGGCACAGCACCGGGGCATCGCCTCCCACCTGACTCCCAGCCCTCAGCGCGGGGTCCCGCAGTGAGGAGGGGGTGCAGTTGGGGTCGTGGGGGGGGGTTGGCACGGCGGGCGGGGCTCACCATGACATAATGCCGCTGCATCTCGGTCTTCTCGCTCAGCAGCTTCTCGCACTCCAGCTTCAGGCTGCGGAGCGGAGCGGCGGTCCTCAGCGGGGGGGGAACCGAAACCCACAGCGGCGTCACCGCCGTTCCCTGCGCCCCACACCCGGCTCGGGGCACGGAGGGGCGGCACGGGAAGCCCGAGTCGCAGCCCCGCGGCCCGGACCCCCGTTCACCGGCCAGCCGCCGCTTCCCCCCCCACCTGTGGTACTGCGCCTGCAGGAACTGGAACTCCTCCTTGATCCGCTCGCAGATCTCCAAAACCGAGAACTTGAAGGGCTGCCCGGGCTGCGGGAGGAGAGCAGCGCGCCGTCAGCCGCGCGGAGCTCCCGGGACGGCGCCGGTAAAGCCCGGTACTCACCGGGTGCCGCCCCTGCGGGAACATCCCCGCACCGCCCGCTCCCCGTAGAGGCACCGCGGCTCGGCTCCGCTCCGCTCCGGTGGGGCGGATCACGTGACCGGGCCGGGGCAGCCCGCGGAATCCCCACGGGGAGAACCCGGCGGGGGCGCGCAGCGGGGCGGCGGTGGCGGGGACCGATTTAAGGTGGAGCGACCCCGCCGGACCCGGAGCGCGCCGGTACCGGAGGCTGCGGGAGTCCCGAGTGCCGCTCCACCTTAAGCAGCCTCACAGCCCGCCGCGGCGGGGGCCGCGCACGCTATTGGCCGGCGCCGCGAGAGCGCCGGCCAATCGTCGCGCTCAGCTCCCACATGGGTTCGTGACGTCTCGACCAATCGCGGCGGGCGGGGCGCCGCGGGGGCCGATGGGAGTTGTAGGCCGCCCGCCCTCCACGTGCCGCCCGCTGACGCCGCCCGGGGCGCGCGCCGCCCGCACCGCCCGCACCGCCACCGCCGCCGGGGCTGCGCTCAGCCCGGGGACGCCGCGCCTCGGCGACGGCCGCACCGGGAGCAGTCAGCGCGGGGGGAGCGGGAGGGCGGACCATCGGCCCACCAGGCCTTGCGGCGGCCGCCGGCTGCCACTCAAAGTAACGTGGGGCGGTGGAGGAGTGTCGGTAACCCAACCCCCCCCACGGCCCCGCTGCCCGCAGAGACCCGAGAGCTGCGGGTGGGGGAGGGGAGGGCGGGTATCGGCATCTACGTCGTAACGGGGGGTTAAAAGACATGTGGCAGGCGGGGGATGTGGGGCAGGAGACACAGGGCAGCAGCTATAGGGAAGGGAATATGGGGCAGGGAATGCAGAGCTGGAGATATAGGGAAGGGGATATGGGGCAATGAATGGAGCCATAAAAGAAGGGATATGGGGCTGGGCGCTTGGGGCTGGAGATGTAGGGAAGGGGATGTAGGGAGGGGGCTGGAGACACAGGGCAGCAGCCATAGGGAAGGGAATGTGGGGCTGAAGATATAGGCATGGGGATATGGGGCATGGAAGTGGGGCTGGAGCCATAGAAGAGGGGATATGGGGCTGGGGACTTGGGGCTGGAGACACAGAGGGGATGTGGGACAGGGGATGTGGGGCAGGGGGCTGGAAATACAGGGCAGCAGCCATAGGGAAGGGAATAGGCAGCAGAGAATGTGAGGTTGGAGATATAGGGGTGGGGATATAGGGGAGGGGACGTAGAGAAGGGGATAGGGGGCAAGAAATTGGGGCTGGAGCCATAGAAGAGGGGATATGGGGCTGGGGATTTGAGGCTAAAGACATAGGAAAGGGGATGTGGGGTGGGAGAAGTGGAGCTGGGAGACGTAGGGAAAGGGACATGGGGCAGGGTACGTGGGGCTGGGGCCTGGAGACATAGGGAAGGGGCTATGGGGCAGGGGACCTGGGGCTGTAGACAGGGAGGAGGATATGGGGCAAGGGACATGGGGGAGGGGGCTGGAGACATAGGACAGAAGACACAGGGAAAGATATATGGGGAACAGGACACTGGCAGGGAATATGGGGCAGGGAACATCGGACTGGAGACATGGGACTGGAGACAGCAGCAGACATAGGGAAGGGGATGTGGGGAAAGGAATGTGGGGCAGAAGACTCAGAAGAGGATGTGGGGAAGTGGGCGCTGCAGGGGACATGGGGAAGGGGATGTGGGACAGAGGGCAGCAGGCATAACGAAGGGGACAGGAAGAAGAGGACATGGGGAAGAGGACACTGCAGGCAATGTGGGATTGGGGACATAGGGCAGGGGATGTGGGGAAGGGGCACGGGGCAGCAGACACAGGGAAGGGGACGTGGAGAGGAGGACAAGGAGCAGGGGACATCAGGGCAGGGAACGTGGGGCTGCAGGCGTGGGGAAGAGGATGTGGGGAAAGTAACACAGGGCTGGGGGAGCTGCAGGGTTGAGTTCCCCCCACAGCAGGGAAAGTGGGCAGAGCAGCTTGGGGATGTTTGTGGCCATACAGTGTGGGTGCAAAATTGGGATCACCCAAGATTTGGGTTTTCCCTGCATGGACTCGCACCCGTTTTGTTTGCTGGACCCATGGACACCTTGTCACCACGTGGCTGTGGGCTGGGGGGGACACAGAGGGGTGTGGGAGCCTTGTGAGCAGCCCAGCAGCTGACAGCCCCCATCGCTGGCGCTGCCTTCGATCCGTACGTTGGCTCCTGTTTGCACTTACCGGCTCTGAGTGGTTTTTAATTATTGATGCCTCTTTTAGCTTTTATCTCGTGCTCGCTGCAGCCAGGAAGGGCTTGGCGTTCCTGCATTAGTGATGAATTGGGAAGGAGGCCCTGCTCCACCGCGCTGCAAAGCATTCCTGGCTGGCAGGCTTGTGCCATTGTTTCAAGCAAAGCTGTGCTGAAAAATGAAGAGGTTGGGAGCCAGGAGGGGGGAAGTGATGGAGGCAATCCCCGCTGTTCCTGCAGCGATGCAGGGGAGGAGGAAACGGCAGGGGATGGCAGAAAATAAAGCGAGGAAACCTGCTTGACCCAGCGAGGAACTGGCAGCGACTCACCTCGCCAGGGAGGAAAGATGCCATTTTGTCACCTCTCCAGCGACAGGCAGGTGGCCGGGGGGTCCCGCCAAGTGCTGCAGGCAGGAATCGACGTCAGGTCAGGGCTGGAGGCTCTGTGGGCAGGGCGCGGGCTCCCTGTCCCCCCCCCAGACAAGCCACAGCTCTGTGGAGCTGTTCCAAGGAGCCCTGTGCCAGCAGGGCTGGCTCGCAGCCTCTCTGCCCGCATCGCTCTCCCACTCTCGTACCACATCCTCAGGAGCGGTTTGTCTGCCAGAAGAAGGTCTTCAATCATCACAGATCAGCAGCACTTTGGGGACCCCGCGCCGCTCGCCGCCCGTGTGCCTCCAACCTCTTCTGCCAGGGCAGGACGGGCTGGCAGCTCTGCAGTGGGAGCTCAAGAGGCAAAGCAGGCTGTCTGGACACAGCGAGGCTGTTTCCTCCGGTCTGCAGCTACGAGGAGAGTCAGGAGGGGATTTCTAACCTTTTTTTAACCTTTTTTTAACCTTTTTTTTTTTTTTTTTTTTTTAAATTTG